ATCTATAAATACTCATCTGGCATTTCCTTAAGAAGAGTTTGGGGGAACTTTTTAATCAGTTGCCTTATTTTAAAACTCATTTTCATATTTTACCAAAAATTTAGCAAGAATGTAGTGTCCTGGGTTCTATAATATTAGTACATTTTCCTGCCTTACCACAGTGAAGGCCAGCAGACATTGAGTAGAAGATGTTTGGTCTCTCTCTCAGGATCTTACATAGACATGAGTTAGAACAGTTGACATTTTGGTAGCTTTGTTGTAGTCAGGTCATATTTTCCTAGCAGTCTGTCAGACCTAAGTAAGATAAGTAAAAGTTAGAAGCTCCCAAAGGCCCGCAGGTTGCAATCTTTGGATATAATGAGAAGGTACTTGGTTTGAGTTTAGAGGAGATGATAACCTTTGAAGGAGCCGTTTATAACTTGGGAAGTTATTATATTTCATGTTAAAGAAACAGGTTTTTATGACCTTAGTTTTCACTGGTGTGGTCAAACGAAGAACATCTTCAACTGTAGAATTTGTGCTGTGGGAGTATAAAGGGCAGTGATATCAAGCACCACTTTAGGTAGTGTTTGTTGTTAGATGCCATCAAGTTGATTTTTGACTCATAGCGACTCCATGTGACAGAGTAGTACTGCCCCATAGGGTTTTTCTAGACTCTGATCTTTACAGGAGCAGATCACCAAGTCTTTGCTGCAGAGCCACCGGTGGGTTCAATTAGCAGCCGAGTGCTTAACCATTGTGCAGCCAGGCCTCCTTAGCTAGTATTTCGCTCCAAAGAAAAATATAAATGTTGAAATTGCTGTAATATTGCAGATTACAATAACCTTAATGAAATTACTGTATTCTAGGTGGTAGCAACCATTGTTGCATATTTTTTGTTATTGGGAACCTTCTGTGTCTGGTTGCTGGGAGGTTGCCGTGATAACATTCTGAGTTGGGTAGGGAGTAGTGAACCGTGGAATCAGTGGCAACCCAGGACGCTCAGGCTTGGAGCTAGGCTGTCTGGGAAGTCTGCAGTGTGTTGGAGTCACGCTCGACATGGACCAGAAGGCTCTGAAGAAACTGGTGGAATCCATAAGTAAAACTGTCAAGAGCTGTACGTGCTGACTAGACATCCAGCACTACCTGAACATATTTATTTAATCAGATATAAACATTGGTAGACATACTAGTTAGACATCAATAAGTGCTTTGCATCCCTGAAATATAGTCTCTCTAGTTTGTATCTAAATTTTGGCCTTTGTAAAAGTAGATAAGGAAAACAATAATGTCTACACTTAACACAGAAAACTTGTAATCATCAGTGTCCTAAAATATATTTGGTATGTGAGAAGACTAGCTTGAGGGTTATGGGACATCTTAAATGCCAAAGGGTTATCAGTCAACCAAGAACTAATTTTTTTATTATAGTATGAAATTGAAATTTAATGAAAATTTTAAATTATAAAGGTTTGCTTTGACCAGTTCCCTGAGTTCTCTAGCCTCCCAGACTGTTTTCACACACAACCCATACTGGCAAATGATTGCTGTACTTCAAGGGGTTAATAGAGCTACATAAGATACTTCAGGTGTTGAAATAGTATGGTGCTTTGCACATGGAAAGTGTTTATTGAAGCTAATCAAATTTAACAGGTCTTTAAAAGTTATGTTGCGAGTTTTGTTTCTCAAACATGACCACATGCAGTCCTGACAATTTTCAGAGAATGTTTTTAGACATAAAGGAAGGAACTTTATTTCCGCCACCGTTCCACAGCCTCTTTATTGGGCACTCCCATTTTTCTACGTGTGACATTGGGGGGATAGGTACTGCCTCATTGTGAAATGTCATGTTAGACTTAATTCCATTTTCTTTTATTCCAATTGGGTTTTAAACTTGCCAGTTCCTCAAGCTCTTTTAGGGCCTGTTTTCTGATTATGATATCATGTATGCCTTGACTTGTGTAGGTCAGATGAGTCCTGCAGATTTAGTCAGTGCTGAATGTTAACAAGAAATATCTGCTGTCATTTGCTGCTTTCTAACAGAGCCTGGCTTGTATAATGTTCAGAAGGAATTTTGCGTACTTTCAAAGTCTTTAACTCCTTTCCCCATCCTAATGAAATTACATTTAGCAATATCTGCTACCCCTAAATGTGTTTAATTTCATAGTTTGTTGTTTGAAAGCAATTCCTTAAACTAGTCTATAAGTGTGAGTATGTGATACTTGATCAGGACCATGTCTTATACAGTCTTCTACAAAATAGATATTTGTAATTATTGTTTGAAAAAGGAAAGAGTGGCAGTTTTCCTCCATTTTTCCAAAGCATTTGACATGTGATCAAAAGTTCAGACCCTAAATGCTTAAACATAGCAGTTTACTCAGTATCCTACACCAGTGTAACCAGATTATTATTTTACATGTGCCTGCTGTAGAATGTTTTATATTCTAGAGCTCGCATAACTTCTACTCATTGATTTCATATGCTCTCTACAGTTACACTGTCCAGTGCAGTAGCCACTAGCCGTGTGTGGCTATTTAAAATTAAGTTAATTAAGATTAAATGTAAAATTCAGTTTCTTGGTCACTCTAGCCACATTTCAGGTGCCACCAAATTGGACAGCTGATATAGAACGTTTCCATCATCTCAGTTCTGTTGGACAGTGCTGCTCTAGAGTCACACATAGTAAATCTAACCCCTTTTCCAAACTCCGACTCCTGCTGACCCCATGCACTGTGGAATGAAACGCTACACATTCCTGCACCATACTTATGATTGGTTGTGGATCAGACTGTTGTGATCCATAGTGTTTTCATTAGCTGAATTTTGGCAGTAAATCGCCAGGCCTTTATTCCTAGTCTGTCTTAGTCTGGAAGCTCTGCTGAAATCTGTTCAGCATCATTGCAACACACAAGCCTCCACTGAGTTGGGTAGTGGCTGCGCGTGAGGTGCATTAATCTAGTAAGGGAGGCAGGTAAATACCTCGGTAATAAATGCAATTGTGAAAGTAGTACAAGCTACAGGGGAGGAGCTGAAGGAAGGTACTTCAGATGAGGCAGTGCCTGAGATGGCTTGGGGACATGAATTATTGAGGGAACAGTGTATATAAAGATAGGAAACAAGGTAGTATTTTAGGAGACTGGTGGTAGCTTGGTATTGCTGGAACGTAAGGAATGGGCAGAGATTTGAGAGGTGAAGGCTGGCTAGTAGAAGGCCTTGTATTCCATGTTAAGGAGTTTGCCTTTTTTTTCCTGTACGCTATGGAGGTATTGCAGAGTTGTTTAGAACACTCACTTGGGGAGCAGCGTGGAAAAGAGTTGAAGATAGCTGTGCACGGGGTGGACTCTGGAGGTGCAACCTGTGCAGTCTCACAGGGCCCTGTGCTTGGTTTAGTATTTTGCTGTCACTGACTTTTAACACTTTTTGAAGGGACCTGCGTTTTCATTTTTGCACTGTACGCCACAAATTATGTAACCAGTCTTGGCTGTGTACCTCTTATTCAAAGAATGGTAAGAGCATCTCCACCTTCAGAATCACCTAAAGGTTTGTGTTGAAAATGCAGATTCCTGGGTACCACGCTAGACTTACTAAAAATTCTCTGGAAATGAGGTGAAGAGTCCAAATTTTTGACTACATGTATTCTTAGACACACTGAAGTTTGAGGACTCCTGACCTAAATTTATCCAAGTGAAATGAGGTCTATCAGCTTCATATCAATCCCAGCTTGATAGATACTGAGCAGGGAATAAACTTGGTCTTTTTCACATGCACTGCCATTTAGCCTTAAAATTTTTACACTTATGTAGATCAGTGACTTTTTTTTTTTTTAAGCTAAGTGCAGAATTTTAAAACTATTTCTAATAAATTTCATGCTCTTCGATTTAGCTGATCATTTTGGTGTCTAGAGGTGATTTTGGATCCTGACTCTCATCCAGAATATTCCTTAACCTCTCCAACATCATGTACTCTTGTTTGACATGTATTCCAATTTGCACGTGGTTGATAAATATGTTTATCGCTTTATTTATTCAGCAAACCATTATTGAGAGCCTGCCATTGTGCTAGGCACTACTAGATAACTGAGTCGATATTAACATGTTAAGCAGCACCTTTTGAATAAAAGTGCTCAGCTATGTCTGTCCATAATTTTCCAGTCCACATTTTTATATTTTGTCTATAAGGACATCATGAGATTGTCAGATGCCTTGTTAAAACCCAAAATACTTTGTGAACTGCATTTCTCTGATCCACTCCTACCAGAGAGAGGAAATAAATCTAGTATGATTTGCCCTTGTGAATTCACAGACCCCTCTTCCTGAGTGTTCATTAGTTTTTAATACAATTGATCATCTCTGCTGACACTTAACCCAGTACCACCTCTAAGTCTACTAGTCCAATGTTTGTCCTTTGCTTTTTTTGTGAGACAAAATAACATGGGCTAATATGTGTGTATAAATAGGTTTTAGTATACATGCATATTTCCTGTGTCTGAGAGAGCCTACAAGCAGTAACACCAAACACACAAGCCCCTAGACCTTTGTTTCTAAATACCATTCTGCAGTAAAAAGAACCAGGGCTCCTTGGAGAAATAGCTGAGCAGGGAAAATGCAAGATGAGCCTGGAACATCTGGTAGTGCCAGAAAGCAAGGAAGTGTGCAAAAAAATAGGGGTATGTCAAAGACACAGGAGCCGACCTGAAAACTCCCAATGCCAAACGAAAAAACCAAACCAAACCGATAGCCGCCGAGCCAATTCCAAAGTTGGGACAATGTAAGCAACAAAATAACATAGTATTGGAATATAACCTGTAGTATAAAATAAATGGCCATGAGTTCATACTGATATAAATGATTGAACAAGTAAGTGAAGGAGAAAGGGCATACCTTCCTTATGGAAGAATTGCAAGTAATATACATAGATACTCCTCTAAGGAACAAGAGTATAGGCTGAACTTAATGACTCACTTCTAAAGAACAGATTGTGGAAAGGGAAAAATAGTATAGTGGAGAAATCTGGTAGACTCCACCTTAACCAAGTGACCAAAGTTAACATCACCAGTGATAAGGCATGTTACATATCCCCTGATATGATGTGATGAAAATGGCACTTTACCTCTATGGTATTCTTCCCCAAAACATATAACCAACCACAGACTAATAAACCCAAATAGAGGAACATTCTACAAGACACCTAACTAGTACTCTTCAAAATTTTTCATGGTCATGAGAAAACCTGGGAAGACTGAAAACTACCACAGATTGGAGGAGATTCTGGATTGATCTTGAAACGAAAGAAAAAGGACATTAGTGGAAAAACTGGTGCAATCTAATAAAGTTTGTGGTTTAGTTAACAGTAATGTACCAATGTTAAATTTATTAGTTTTCACAAGTGTACTATGGTTATGTAAGATGTTAACATATGGGAATTGTGTGTACTATTTTGGCATCTCTTCTGTAAATCAAATTGTTCTGAAATTAAAAGTTTAATTAAAACAATAATATGAGTTCATGCCTAGCACCTCAGTGCCATTTCAATTATCCATGATTTCTCAAATACCATTTATGATGGTTAGATAAAATGAGATGTGAGCTACATGGATAAAACTCAAAGGTCTGGGGCAAGGCCTGGAATCTGCATATTTAACAAGTGTGGGGTAGTGGAGAGGTGGTTGAGTCTCATACAGATGGCCCAAAGATCACACCATGAGAAGCACTGCGCCAATCAATGTTAATCCTCTGAGCAAGCATATAAGGCTACCATCATCCTCTTCAACCTTGTTTTTCACTTTCTTCTCATTGCTGTGCTGCCAATAAGGCATGGTTATCCTCACCCCAGTTTCACCTCTTTTCTTTACCCATGTTCTCTCCCCCTGGGATTTTCCACTTCTTTACCATCTCCAACACAGTCCTCCTTATATAAATACTATACATCCTTTAAGGCCCAGTTCAAAATCTACTTCTATGAAAATGGCCCAACTCTTCTTTCCCATACTGATTTCTCTCCACATGGCTATGGTGGTGACCTTTATAGTATATAATTTGTCAATTACATACTGTCTCATGGGACTTCTTATGAGGCCCATTTTATGTATAAACTTTAAGTAACAAAGTCATGCCATACTTTCTGTATCACCAGAGCACCTAGCATCGTAGGAACAAAATAGCTGCTTAGTAAAATGGATTGGGTTGAAAAACTCAGTAATTAAGTTGTATTTGTGTCTTTTCATTTTACAGTCAAAAAAAGTGAAATTGAGGGTCTCATAAGGCTTTTTCACAGCTTGGTGAAAAGAACTGATGAAAGACTTAATCAGATGGGGCTAGATCGTAGTGCATTTCGAGAGATCCTACACAGCATATTTGGAATGACTGATGATATGCTGATGGATAGGGGTAAGAACTCATGAGAGACTGAAATGGGCCAATGGGAGATATGGCAAATAAATATTACCTATGTGTCTGTGGATGTGTGTGAGTGTGGGTGTGGGTGTGTACGTACTCAGTTTTCATCAAAGACTTAACTTTTTCAATTAAACTAGAAAGGCATAGTTCTGGTATAGTGCTGGCAACATAAAACAGTAGTTGGTTTGGTTGTGAGGATGATTCTTAATACACGCTCACTCAGAAGTTCACATCTCATAGCTGTATGGCTTTGAGAGATAACCATTGAACTAAATAAGCTAGCAGTATTGTTTTTTAAAAGATAAGCATGTAGCTCTTAATCATGTCTTTGGGTTCACATGCCATAGATGTATAAATTATTACATGTAAATTATACATAAAAATGAAAAATGTACCAGTACAGAAAAACTCTTTATGTTGAAAAAAATTCAAAAAAATTTAAAATAGGAAATTATTTAATGTGATTCAGTTGATTTCATAACAAATTTTTAAAACGTGCAGTTAGATAAGTTTTAACATATGTATACACCCGTGAACCATGACCACAGTCAAAATAATTAACATATCCATCACCCCCAAAAGAGTAAATATTTTATCTATCAGAAAATACTAAGATTTCATTGGTAATTTTTTAAAATTAATTATTGTAATAATTTAGCTTTAACTAGGTATAATGCAAACTCTAGAATTTTGCCACTCTTTTAGAATAAAATTGTTATCACATTGATTAACTCCTCTGTTGGTCTTCTTGGCGCATAGTAACTGTATGAAAGATTACAAATGAAGTTTATCATTGTTAATGAAGAATGACTATAAAAACCTGGGGGAAAACACATTCCTTTCAATAATTTTGGTTCTTTCAAGAGAGACTGCCAAAACCTTTTCCCTTTTCAACTCGAGAGAGAAAAGTTTTTCTATCTATACATACATACTGTTGAATTATAAAAATGGCTCTGAATTACAATGCACATATATGTTCTTTTTGTTTCAGTGTTTTTTGCATTTGACAAAGACAATGATAGCCGCATAAATGTAAATGAGTGGGTTAAAGGATTGTCAGTGTTTCTTCGAGGGACTTTTGAAGAAAAGCTGAAGTGTAAGATTTCTATACGTGATTACTGGCTTCATTGTCAGTTTTTTATTTAGTGAATGTTTAAATACTTAAAAACTGTGAAATCAGTGTCCTCTATAGCAACCTCGCAAAAATAGTTCATGATGGCTTAAAAGCAGATGAAATGGGTGGCCCAGTTGTAAGCTCTCAGAAGATTCCCCACACCCAGGCTCCCCGTTTCCTTCACTGGTTCTGTAATGCCTGAATGTCACCAGGATAGGCCTTTGGCTTAAGGCCTAGTCTGAGAACAACAACTAAGTATCTGGGTGTATGCCCGTGGCTGAGGTTTCTCAGGCTGTTTCTGGGCTCAGCAGGAAATGGATCTTGATACTTGCTGAGGTTACAGGATGAGAAGGAGCAATACATATGTCACGTAGGGTCCATTCCTTGTCTTTTCATCAAAGAAAATGTGTGGGATTGACACAGAGGAGTTGAAACACACATCAGCCCTGGGCATTAATACCCCACTGTTAGAACTGGTTTTGATTAGAGAAGAGAAGGAAGAGAGAAAGGGAGCAAGAAGGCTGAGGACAATGGGAGCCCAAAGGGGGAATGATTATAAATGGCGCTTCCTACAGAAAGGGAAAGTTAGGAATTCCAAAGACATAAATCTCCCAATTCAAGATTTTGCCTAGGCACAGCTTTGTCCTCACCTCACTGTACCATTGGTGTGATGTGTATTTCCCATCCTTTACACCTCTAGTGTCAAGTTCTGAGAATAGAATAGGGATGATTTTAAACAGCAGTTTTCAAGAGAACAAATTGTCTTATTAAGGTGTCAAATTGCTTAAGACTGCAAAGTAAGTGTAAGATTTCTGTATACCTATAATGCAAAATTTTCTCTCTTATTCTTTCACTTGAATTCGGATTTGGAATGTTGAAAATGGCGATCTCTGAATTAAATGCACATTTGAAAAATGATAGCAACATTTTTTCAAAATCATTTTCTCTGACATTTGTGAGTTTTTTGTCGTTTTTTTTTTTTTCCTTAAGTTCTTTCCTCTGGTGTTGTTTTTTATGGAGTAACACTCAAATATAGTTTCCACTTAAGTTTGCTGCAGTGTTCTTATACAAGTCTCACTGAGAAGTTAAAAGCTAAGTTTCATGGATGTAATTCTTTGTAGTAATACTACTTTGTGAAAGTGGTTGTGATGCTGAATGCAACTATACTTGTTTTAACAGTATCGTGCTATCAAGAAAGTTTTCTTCCTCTACTCCTACTTCCTAAAAATGCTTTATATATATTTAAATGTTAATGAGAGGAAATATTTCTGGTAGGCTTCTGTTGCAAACTCATATGTATGTTACAGATTGGAGAAACTGAACAGAAAGACAAAGCTAATCTGCTACTCTGGAGTTTTATTCCTGGTTCTATTGTGTTTGTTAAACCATTTAACTAGACTACAAACTCCATGAGAGCTCCTTCACTGTCATATCCCCAGGACTTGAGTAAGAACATTGTTGGATGAGTGAGTGAACTGTGGTAGAGGTTACATAGTGAAATGGAAGTCACTTCCAGGCAGAGATTATTTGATAATTTTGACTGTGCAGAGCAGACCCCGAGATGATGGACTCTCTTCCTAAATACAGTGACACCTGTCAGAGCTGGAATTTGACAGGACTGCCTTGTTTTTCCAGGTTGCGGAGGTTTTCCGCATTTGACTTTTCTATTGCTTGTGTTAGTGGAAAATATTAGTTTTCCTTCTGACAGGTTTCTGCCTTACACAGGTTCCGGCTTCCGCAGGTTTTAGTGTATACTGAAAAATGTTCTTTGTCAGTGATACAGTGAAGTATATACTTTTTTTGTACTCTGTGTAAGAAAATCATAATATTGATTGCTCTCTATATACATACACATGCATACATATACGTATATATATATTACGTAATCGAAGGTTTCAAAAATATTTGTCCTTTATTTTAGCTTCATAATTTTTAAACCCTCTGTTTCAAAAACCAGAAACCCTGGTGATACAGTGGTTAAGAGCTATGGCTGCTAACCAAAAGGTCAGCAGCTGGAATCCACCAGGTGCTCCTTGGAAACCCTATGGGGCAGTTCTACTCTGTCCTATAGGGAGGTTATGAGTTGGAATCAATTTGATGGCAACAGGTTTTATTTCAAAAACCAGAAATTATAAGCCTTTATTTCTACATCTCTAGAGGTATTTAATCTTGTAGAAAGAAATGCAATAAGGGTTGCTTTATCTAAAATCACTCTACCATATAGCAAATTAAACCAGTAATTGCACGCTGTATAATTTTTATCCTTTGTTACCATATATTGAAATAAGACTAATGAAATTTTAACTGTTCTTATAAAAGTGCTAAAACTTCTTCTTTGAAAAGTCTGTTTTGAAGTTTATTATTTGAATGGTGATGGTTACATTTCTCAAGATGAAATATTTGACATGTTGAAGAACAGTCTGTACCAACAGTCGTCTGAAGAAGAGACTGATGAAGGAGTCAAAGAACTGGTAGAAATCACAATGAAGAAAATGGTAAGAAGGAAAAATTGTAATACTCTCATTACATGGATGTTGTGTAAATCTAAAAATGAAGAAGTGATTTATTTTCCTCTGTAGTAAATGTCATCTTCATGAGGGCAGGAGTTTTATTTTGTTCTCTGCTTGGCAAAACTTTCTCATCTAGACAGCTACTTTCCTTGCAAAATTAAAAACTGCTTTATCATTTACCAAGAAATAATCTTTCTTTCTAGGATTATGACAACGATGGCAAGATATCTTTTGCAGATTTTGAAAGAGCAGTAAAAAACGACAGACTTTTGTTGGAGGTGTTTGGACCATGTTTACCAGAAGCGCAGGTACAGTTACAAGTGCCAACTGCCCAGATAAGTTGAGGAAAAATATAAGCAACTTTATAACTGTTAAGGGTCAGGAAAGTTAATACTTGCTGGACACTCACCTCTGCTGTTTAGATGAAGTCTGGCAGCCACGAAGAGCTCCTCCCCATCTAGCATTTGTGCCCCTAAGACACTAAACCAAAAAAACCCATTGCCGTTCTGACTCATAGCAACCCTAGTCACTATTTAAATAATTATATTCAACAAGCTTTTCTTGAGCTTTCCACCTCTCTAGCCACATACAATTCCTGATTTCATAAGTATGATAGTATTTTCCAAAACTAGGATGTATTGGCTTACTTATGGATAGAACACTGAAAAAAGGAAAAGTCATATAGTTACCGTAAAGTGGATTCAGCAAGGACCTACTATAAACTTCTAGGAGAACACGATCTGTTTCAACCCAAATGTTGTGAATGAGGATAAAATTTTTAAAATTTTGGACACGTGTATAGTATTCTACTTGCACTCATGATGGTTTTTCACATATGAGGCTGACCAAAGTTTTCTCAGCTGGAAGGGCCAGCCTAATAGTTTATTTGGCTCATAAAATGTCTTTCCTGATCTTTCCTTTGATCAACTGCACTTTGCAAACACATCTGATACAAGCAGAAGCCTCAGCTCCCATCTCTTAACTTGTCCCACTGTAGTTTATTCCCTAAATTTTCTCTCTGGAAAGATGGTAGAAAGCTGTGTGAGAGGCAGACTTCTACCCTTAACAGACCCTTTGGCTGAAATCAGTATAGAATACTGGACTGGACTGGAGTAACTACTTATGATGGAACAACCAACAGTTCTTCCGCTGCTCCCAGAGTTCATCTGTAGCTAAGTTATCTAGGACCCTGCTCCTCAGTGTACTCTGTGTTATCAGCAGCACTAGCATCACCCGGGACCTTGTGAGAAATCAGAATCTCAGGCCCCACCCGAGGGACTTTAACAAGTTCCTGAGGTAACTGATAGCACCTTAAAGTCTGAAAAGCCCTGATTTAGACACTTGCTCCTTCTAATTCTATGCTCAGAACTCTATCTTCCACCTGAGATTTCAGCAAAAAAAATATGTATCTAGTTAGCTCACATGCAAATAGGGCCAACCTCTTCCCTGAAACATCCTTTAGTACCATCCACCACCTAGTGTCATCCTAGCAAGTATGGACCAGTAGTTCATAACTGAAGCTGAACCTCACTGATACATTTAAATTCAATCCACTAGGCAATAGGCGCTTAAGGATAGAAGAAAAACAGATACAGTATGGGCCTTCTCAAATTACTCTGATCAATAAAAAATGGAAGTAGCCTGGATGCACTTGGGTTTCCAATTATGTGGTCCATTCGCGAAAAACAGAAAACAAAACAAAACATAGATGTGCCAAAAACAGTGGTAGGAGTCTAGCATTTACAAGTACTGATTTTTTTGGGGGGTGGGGAGTGTGGCATAGATCAAGTAAATTCTTCTTAGAATTTAACTAAAGCATATAAAATTCTATTTCACCTTTGTTCTAACAGTTTATTATTAACTTTTTTTTACTTTACAGAAATGTCTTGATTTTGAAGTCCTGGCATTCAGAAATATCCTGAATTCTGGTTTTTGAATGTGAATCACAGGCCTCTTTCCACTTAACTATAGATCTTGAACAGTTTTTCCACATCAAGAAAATCAGAAACAGATCTTGCTGCCTATCTTTATTTATATTGTAAAGATTTGTATTTGATTCAATTAATTTACGTGCAGTTATTGTGAGACATAATGTTATATAACAATTTTAAGATATGTATCAAAACATGTAAACAAGGAATTACAAACTATAATTTTAAAAGACGATACTGTATTAGACAAACAGCTTGCATGAAATTACAGAGTGCATTAAAAAACACCAGCAGTAAAATCTCTTTAAGAATTAAAATGACAGATTAAAAAATAAATATTCCCTTTAGAAAATATTAATTTGCTGCTGGCAATCTATATTCTTCTTCTTTGTTTTAATGGATGACTTGTACGCACATCTTCCAGTTTGTCTTCTGAAGGCTTTGGCACAGGTGAAATTACCTAGTTTGAAAAAAAGAAAACCACCAAAACTTAGTTTTTATTGTACAAGGGTAAATAAGCCATTAGAAGAAGCAGACTACATATCCACTAGTTCAGTCCTGGCCATCACATTTGAGAGGGTTCACCCAAGTTCACAGTACAACCGACGAGCCAGGCACAGAGCAAAGTTTTCTGTCCAAACGTTGATGGGAGTAAAATTTCTAAAGCCATTTAACAAGGAAAAACTTTTGAGGGGAGAAAAGTGAACATATGCTCTAATATTGTTTGATAGCTCTAAAGTCACTTGTTTTATGGATACAGATCTTTATCCTGGTTCTGTATAACTTGAAACATTGTTAATGTTTGTTCTATTTAGAAATATGGAGGCTTCAGATGGAGAAATGAAAATTCCTGTGAAGAACTGAAAATAGTTTAATCCTTCATTTCCTTAGGGAAAAATGAAAACCAAAACACATCATCAGAGAGAGAGAGTAGACAATAAGTCAAAGCAGAGTAGGACAGTCTTCACTTAAAATGGCAAATTATTAGAAACTGTAGTAAATTGTATTCAGTATTTCTCTTTTTCTTGTTCTACCACTTTGACCTCACACTTTTTCCTTGAAAATGCTGGCTGCTCTGGCTGAGACAGCTCTATATCCATGCCTCACTTCAGCAGTACCTGAAGGTAGTGAGGGTGCCAGCATAAAGCTTAAGTACAGAAATTTTATCTATAGATTTTTATTATTATAAAACAATCCTTCATCCTTAGTAATTGTCAGGTTAAAAATTTACATAAAAAAATGAAACTACCTTAACCCCCCCGCCCAAAAAAAAACACAAACCCATTGCCGTTGAGTCGATTTCGACTCATAGAGACCCTACAGGACAGAGTAGAACTGCCTCAGAGTTTCCAAGAAGCAGCTAGTGGATTCGAACTGCTGACCTTCTGGTTAGCAGCCAAGCTCTTAACCATGCCATCAGGGCTCTGAAACGACCTTAGCCTCCCTTAAATCACCTTGTAAAATATACATACAACTGTGCAAAAAGCACTTTCTGAGTGGTGTTTCGCACCCATTTTGTGATTTCTAAAACGGCCACCTCTCCAGCCCCAAAGAAGGGTGCCCTTCAAAAGCTAACTCAAATACTAACTTTTACTTGTGCTTGGGAAAAGGAAAGTGATTATGTAAATAATGTTAAAAGTGACTACATAAATAGCACAATCTAGTTCTCTTAAGTAGTTGAAACATAGACCTTAAAGCCCAATCTTTAAAAATCTCTCCTTCTATGGCTATCTTTCTCACAGGAAAAAACCCAGCACTTTCATGTACTCTGTAATAACTTTGAATTTAGGAGAAATAATTTGTAATGATTTTTTTTCAATACAGTGGTTCTCAACTCTGGCTCAGATTAGAACCATCTGGGGAGCTTTAAAGAAAGGAGGGGCTTGGGCTCCACCCTCAGAGATTGATTTAATTGAATGAAACTGCTACTTCAAAATTTTGCATCTAAAGTGATATAAAATATGTTCTGTTTATTGGTTAAAGGAAGGATTAATGGTACCAAAACAAATAAATTGGTTAGTCAAATTCAGTTAATTCAACAGACACAACTGCAGAAAAACACATCAAAAAACTAAAATGTGAAAAAAAAATTACAATACTATAGTTCCCACAAGTGATTCTCCATTTACTTACCTCTTAGTCTTAAAACCAAATCATCTCTCAAGACAGTCTTTAAAAATTACCTTACCTCTTTAAGTTTATCTCGAATTAAATTTGCAGTTGTATTCAACGAGTCATCGTGCATGTCTACTTTAGGTATGTCTGGTAATTTGGGTCCAATCATAACCTCATTACTACTTGTGCTTGTTTCAAGAAAAGTTCCAAGTCTACAATCGTTTTCTCGTCTTCTTTTCCGCTCCTGCAGCTGTGTTGTCCTAGGCATAAATCTATCAATTGCCTCTGAAGGAGTAATAACCTTTTGTGCACCTGGGCAGGCCACTGAATTTTTAAAAGTTTTCATCTGTATTTTCTGCAAAGATTTATTGTAGTTACAGTGCTCCACTGCTTCACCATGGTTTCTACCATCCTGAGAGGAGTTTGATGCTCTGGCCACATGCTCCCCTGATGAACACATACATTTTGAGGAGAAATAACATAAAGGCGATTCACAAGAATAAGGATTTGAGCTCCCAGTAGAAGTGTTCAAAGCAGATGCACAAAATCCAGACGTCTCTGAGTGGAAGTCCTGTCTATGATCTTCTGCGTCTTTATGCTCTGTAACCAGTTTCTTCTTTGTCATGCGATGGTCTTTATGTTACCATTTAAAAGGTGAGTGGAAGGAAAATGGAAATGGTTCATTTATTGTTTCCGTCGTTCAGAAACATAATTTTTTAAAACAAATATTCATCATTTAAAAATAATGTTAACAAATGCTACACTGAAAAATTTAATTTCCTAACCAGGCAATACATTCATGTGGTTTAAAAGCTTTTTAAAAAGGATAGAGGTTTATAGTGTCAAGCTTCACCCTTTCCTTGCTCCCCTCATTCAATTTCGACCCCCCAGAAGTAACATTATTCTTATTTTCTTATCTAGTTATGTCTTACTTTTCCTCTTCCCATCCTTTTTTCTCTCTACTCAAAAGGTAACCTGTAATACTATTTCTCTGCTCCTTGGCTTTTTCTACTTACCTATAGATCCTGGAGAGTTTTTCTACGTCATTACATAGAGAGTTTCTTCTTTTGGTACAGCTTCAGATTATTCTTTTGTATGAATGTATCATGCTGCTTAGTTTGTGTTTATTAGTTTTTAAACTAGACAATATTCTGGGTGCATTTCCAAGGCCTGCACAGACTTCTTACCTGTCTATCCTCCCACATGCAGACTACACCACCAGAGAGGGGTGTTGAAGGTGTGGTAAAGATGAGATATAACTGACTACATGTTCACAATTGTCGAAGTTATTAATATATGGGAAGTACATTATCCTAGTCTCTCTACCTTTATATGTTTAAAAATTTTCACAATAAAATTTTTTAAAAGTAAGACTATGTGTCCAAACACTTCGTAAATTCTAGAATGACATAGATGAAAGAGAGCTTAACTGAAGTGCACAAGGCCAAACAAATCATAGTTAAAATATAAACACTATATCATGCTACCACTTATTGCTGGAGCAACACTGAGACCAATAAGGAGGTCAGGGGCAGGGCAAAAAGGTCTTAAGAGGAAGGGGAACAAAGAATGAAGATGATTCTAGACTTTCATCACCACCACGGGGATGAATAAGGCAGTTCAAAAATAAGCTCTGGACAAAAATCCGAAGACTTGGGTTTTAATCCCTATTTTGCCCCTAAATTACCTCTAGTGATATGGGCCAGCCGCAAACTTTCTAAGCCTTAGCGTCCTCGTCATAAAAAATAAGGCATAGGTCAGATGATCTCAAAGGTGCTCCTCTACCCTAATATTTTAAAACTTCCTTTGTCACACATATAAGTTTTCTTGAAGAAATTAAGAGTTCAGTGTCTAAAAATGCCCAGGGACTCTCTACAGCCCTCTGGTCAGATTTCCAAGTAAGTTTTCCAAGGGTCTTTCCACGTTCCTTCTTCCTTCCTTCTTTCTTCACCACTGTTAAATGCCCCTTCCCAATTAGCCATAAACTCACCATGTTCAACAGGTGTATGGACTGTCAAACACCCCTTCCCAATCAGCCATAAACTCACCATGTTCAACAGGTGTATGGACTGTCCAACGCCCCTTCCCAATCAGCCATAAACTCACCATGTTCAACAGGTGTATGGACTGTCAAACGCCCCTTCCCAATCAGCCATAAACTCACCATGTTCAACAGCTGTATGGACTGTCAAACGCCCCTTCCCAATCAGCCATAAACTCACCATGTTCAACAGGTGTATGGACACTTGACTATTTCAATGATAGCGTAGAAATCTGGTTATTTGAGCCTCTACTAATATACAGATTTCAAGCCACACACATTATCTTAGTCCAGTTCTGATGGCTCTACTGCTACAATCCATGTACAGATCCCATGACTCCATTCCAGGCACTTGGAATTTGTGTCTGGGGAAACTCATTTGGGCATGTGGGGCATTTGGTTAGCTGATGGTCAAAAGAGGAACTTGTCCATGATGATGAATAGTTGGTAACTAGTCTACAAAACATAATTGCTTCTCACTGCCTTCAGGTCAGGTCAAAACCTTAATTCCCTAGAATGGACACAAGGCCCCTCAGTGATTTGCTTCCTGTCCACTGTTCCAGTCTGATCTTTCACCACAGCCCCTGTGCTCTGGTTATCTTGTACTACTCACTGTTCCTTAAATGCAAGATAGTCATTCCTCTGGGCCTTTCAACATGCTGTCTGGCCCACCTTCCCATCTCTTCTTCTCTCCTTCCAGCTAACATCTACTTATTATTCAAAACTCGGCCACCTCTCACATCCTATAGGAAGTGTTTCATGAACCAACATCTCTCCTTTCCCAGCCCAATTTACATAAAGTGCTTCACAGAACCCTGTGGCTTACAATTATTTAATACTATGATCATTTACTTGCCTCTCCACCCACTAAACTGGGAACTCCATGGTGGTATACCTAGCAGAGTGCCTGACATGCAGGAGGCGTTTAGTTAAACAGACTTCCCATACCTTTATTTTTAGTAGTTCTTGCTATATAAGCCTTTCTCTCTTGTAACTTTTTTCTAGTTTCTTCAACTGTCTCAAATTCTGGAGCATAGCAGACATGAAGCAATCCACCAAAGAAACTCTGTTCATCCATTTTTCTCTTGGCTGTCCTAAACAAATACATGATAGCATGGCTTATTAATCAAGATTTATTTAGCATTAAAACTTAACTATTATACAACAGGTTGACCTAAAGAGCAAAGTCCACCTTTTGTTATGTGCACACACCTCCTCTGGTTTGGAAATTAAATTAAGATGTGCTGCTTGTGCGCACTACTAACCCTACTGATCCAGGACTGTGGTACATACTCTTGGAGACTTTCCCCTCTTCTCCCAATAGGGTTGAAAAATTTTAAGCTAAGCTATCCACATATATCCAGATTTCCTCTAACCAATTTAGGACCCAGTTGGCTGGCCTGAGGTACACAATCTGTAGCCAGGAAATAGGGCTTTTCTCTGTGTTAAGCTAAACAGCCCTTGAGCATTAGTTCATACCCAACCTAGCCTTTTCCTATAGTCAGATTCATACATAAAAAATTAATTTAAAATATTGTAATATTATGTAATATGTCATACAAATATTACATAATATAGTACTTCTTCTGTGTAAAGGGATAACGATAAGAAACACTTATTGATCGTTTACCACATGCCAGACAGTGTCCCCAATGCTTCGCTTGAATTTACACCGCAAAACAACCTAATGGTGAATTGAAGGCACAGGGAGATTATATAGCTTGGCCAGGGTCACACAGCTGGTTTGGTGGAGCCAGGATTCAAATCCAGCTGTCTAATCTACAGCCCACTGCACTAGGTGCTGTAGAAGATTCAAAAGCTCTAGAAAACATCATAAGGTGCTGGCAAGATGGTTGGGAAATGAGATTACATAAAACAGCAGCCTGAAAAGAACACATGATCCTATAGAATCAACTGCTTTTGTGGCATAGTATAAGTGCCATTGGTGGCACCAAAAAAATATGAATTGTTTTAGCCAGGGAAGGATGGTTCTTGGAGCAGATTAGTAACAAGAATAAGAGTCAACATGAAAAACAGATGAGGCATTTCATACTTCAGCCTTACTGGAACAGAGTTATATAGTAGGCTGGATAAGATGGGGTCAAGTCACACAAGGCCATAACAATAAGAACTTCAAAAGTTACTGTTAGTGTATTCTGAATACGAGGCACTATGCTAAGCCCTTTATATGAAATGTCTGATTTCACTCTGACCCAACCTCAAGAGGTTTACCAAACGGATTTTACAGAAGAGAAAAACAGGCTTAAAGAGGTTAAATAATTTGTCCAAAGTTATGAAAGCAGTGAGATTGGAAAATTTACTCCAAACCCAATTTATCACCTACTATAGTACACAGTAAAAAACTGTTAAGCACGGGAATGACATGATGGGAACAGTGTTTTGGTAAGGCAAGCCTTTACGAAGCTGTCCCTGGGTGGTGCAAACAGTTAAATGCTCAACTACAAGCCAAAAGGTTGGTGGTTCAAACCCACCCAGAGGTGCTTCAGAAGACAGGCCTGGCCATCTGCTTCTGAAAGGTCACAGCCTCGAAAACCCTATGGAGCAGTTCTACTCTTCACACATGGGGTCTCCATGAGTCAGAATCAACTTGATGGCAACTAACAACCACCACCACAACAACCTTTAAGAAGACTGGAGGAAGATATGAGAAATACAGGGTTAGTTCAGGTAAGAATGAGGGAAACCTGAGGCCAGAGTGACAGCAATGGGAATGGTGGAAACGAAACATAGCTTAACTTGCATATTACCTTGCACTCTGTAAATTCAGAAATTTAATAAGATACACTTCTGTAAAGTCTTCTGCTGGGTATTCATCTAGAGCATTATATTGTTCAATTGCACCATATAAAGCAAATCGCTCCACTAATTCCTTCATCGCTCCCACTGCAGGAACTCCTTGTATTAATAAGTACCGAGATTCCAAATTGATTGTATATACCTAAAGAAAATGCAAATTCATTAAAGTTATTTCACAAGTAAGCCTAGAACAAATATGTCCTTATTTTTTAAAACAGCTTTGAAAACACGGACTATTCTGTTAAGCACAGTCCGCAGAATACAGAATCAAAAATTTTGCCACTCTCTCTGCATAATAACTCACCCTACGTTTGAAGGCCTCAAACCAAAGCATACATCAGACGATACCTTCAGTCGACAATTTTTCCAGACGTTAGATCAGTAGAAGTGGTTCGTGTTTCTGGGAAGATTCACTCGACAAATACCGAGTGTTAACCATGTGCCAAGCACTAGTGTGAGCACAGAAGATACAAGGAATAAAACAAAGTCCTGTTTACGCGGAGCTGATGTCTTAGTGGCTGACTAAAGGAGAGCTTTGGTGCCTGTCTCTCGTTTACTCACACCCAACTCCAGTGAGGAACGGACCTGACGACTAACTGCCTTGTCAAGCCTTTATTTACATGGGCTGGGAAGGTGGAGCGAGCACGCATACATAAGGCTACCTGGATAGCGAATGGAACCAAAATTACCTTACCTTGACAGCGCGGGGCCGTCGCCCCTCCCGATACTTGGCCCGCGTGTCGCATACAGACTTCTGGACATGATGGTCGAAGAAGCTCCCAAGCTCCGCGCCGCTAGACGCCATGCTGTTGGCTTTGGCTTTCACCGAGAGGACAACATCCGCCTTGTTACAATCTCGTTTATCCAATAAGAAGGCGGGATGCGTCAAGATCTACCCGGATTGGTTGGAGAATCGACACTGTCGGCCATCGTTTCCTGCGAGCGAAGATACGGTGAACGAGGTGCCGACCCCTAGTGGCGCGGCGGAGAGCCCGGGGGGGTGAGTGGAGGCTGGGTTGTCTCTCCCGCCTCAGGCGCGCGGCGGGGTGCGCTCCGGGAGAGGGGGCGGGGCCGATCGATCTTCTCCGGGACCGCGGCCCTCGCCTGTCCCGGCCCAGGTCGTCCCCCGCTGTAGGGTGGGCGGCCTGGAAGTCCTGCTCGCCTGCGATGTGGGGCAGCGATCGCTTGTTGGGTGCGGGGGGAGGCGGGGTAGCCGTGACAGTGGCCTTCACCAACGCTCGCGACTGCTTCCTCCACCTGCCTCGGCGCCTCGTGGCCCAGCTGCAGTTGCTGCAGGTAACGCGCCGGACCCGGGCGAAGGCCCGGAGCCAGGACACCGGGACAGTCGTCTGGAGTCGGAAGTGGCCGAGGCCTTGTAGGGACACGGCGGCCGTTCACGATCTCCCCGCTGCGGGGGAGCCCACCAGGGGTAACCGACTGCCTTCTTGGCAACGCTGGCCCGTGCAGAGGTCAGATTGAAGGCCCCTCGAGGGCAGGGCCGATCTGAGCAGTCCATGCACCCCACACCATGTCTAGTGCAGTCCCGGGCCATTTAAGTTAACTTGCCTTATTCCAAGTCTTCTCACTCGGTGAAACTGGCCTTTTAAAAATCCTCTACCTCTTTTTAAAAAGTCTCCCTTTGCATTCAGAACTACTCCTTACTCCGGGTTGGGAAAACTTTTGAAGAGTCGCTTATTTTATTGTTTTAAAAAATGTTTTCCCTGCCAGAGATTTCCAGGTGCCTGCACTGCTGCTGTCTGGGTCTCGAAAGGGAGGAGACAGACTTTGCGGAGCCCCTGTACATTAGTGGAGCCCTGGTGGCGCAGTGGTTAAGAGCTACTGCTACTAACCAAAAGACAGCAGTTCAGATCCACCAACCGCCCCTTGGAAACCCTATGAGGAAGTTCTACTCTGATCCATAGGGTCTCTGTGAGTTGGAATCGACTCGACGGCAATGATTTTGGTTTTGATCGTACCTTAACGGGTTGAGTACCTCCCACAAGCGAAGTGGAAATGTTAATAAAATGATGGGTATTCCCTGTGCTGCTGTGTGCCAGGAATGTGCAGTGGAATTCGGCATACTTGGAAAGATTATTTGGACGTTGTGTTTCACAGGTCCAACCACAGGCAGAGAAACAGCATCCGTATTTTCATAATTAAAAATATAATTGGCACGTGGTCTCATAAAGTATGAGTGTGCTTATGGAGGCAAGAGGATAGAATATTTGAAATCCTCAAGAACCCTGGATGCATGGTATCCACACTGGATAATCCATACAAGAAACATTTTAAGAGTTTGCAATAATTTCAAGTATCTCACCTTTTCCTTTTGTTGTTGTTGTTAAGTGCCGTCTAGCTGGTTCTGACTCATAGCGACCCCGTGTACAACAGAATAAAACACTTGTGTGTCCTGCACCATCCTCGGAATCCTTGCTATGTTTGAGCCCATTGTTGTAGCCACTGTGTCAATCCATCCCATCCAGGATCTTCCGCTTTTTCTCTGACCCTTTAACTTACCAAGCATGATGTCCTTCTCCAGGGACTGGTCCCTCCTGATAGTATGTCCAAAGCACAGGAGATGAAGTCTCGCGATCCTTGCTTCCAAGGAGAACTGTGGCTGTACTTCTTCCAAGACAGACGTGTTTGTTCTTCTGGTAGTCCATGGTATATTCAGTATTCTTCACCAACACCGTAATTCAAAGACATCAGTTCTTCAGTCTTCCTTATTCATTGTCCAGCTTTTGCATGCAAATGAGGTGATTGAAAATACCATGGCTTGGGTCAGGCACACCTTAGCCCTGAAGGTGACATCTTTGCTTTTTAACACTTTAAAGAGTTCTTTTGCAGCAAATATACCCAATGCAATACATCATTTGATTTCTTGACTGCTGCTTCCATGGGCATTGATTGTGGATCCAAGTAAAATGAAATCCTTCACTTCAGTCTTTTCTCCATTTATCAGGATGTTGCTTATTGGTCCAGTTGTGGGGATTTTTGTTTTCTTTATGTTGAGGTGTAATCCATAATGAAGGCTGTAGTCTTTGATCTTCATCAGTGTCATGGATTGAATTGTGTCCCCCCCAAAATATCTGTTAACTTGGCTGGTCCATGATCCCCAGTATTATGTGATCGTCTACCATTTTGTCATCTGATGTGATTTTCCTATGTGTTGTAAATCCTACCTCTATGATATTAATGAGATGGGATTAGCAGCAGTTATGTTAATGAGGCAGGACTCATACTACAAGATTAGGTTGTGTCTTAAATCAATCTCTTTTGAGATAAAAAAGAGAAACAAGCAGAGAGACACGGGGACCTCATACCACCAAGAAAGCAGTGCTGGGAGCAGAGCACATCCTTGGAACTGGGATTCCTGTGCAAAGAAGCTCCTAGACCAGGGGAAGATTGATGACAAGGACCTTCCTCAAGACCTGACAGAGAGGGAAGGCCTTCCCCTGGAGCTGGTGCCCTGAATTCAGACTTCTAGCCTACTAGACTGTGAGAGAATAAACTTCTGTTTGTTAAAGCCATCCACTTGTGGTATTTCTGTTACAGCAGCTCTAGCCAGCTAAGACAGTCAGTAAGTGCTTCAAGTCCTCTTGGCTTTCAGTGAGCTAGGTTGTGTCATCTCCATATCGCAGGTTTTTAATGAGTCTTTCTCCAGACCTGATGCTGCATTCTTTATATAGTCCAGCTTCTTGGATTATTTGCTTAGTATACAGATTGAATAAGTATGGTGAAAGGATACAACCCTTATGTACACTTTTCCTGATTTTAAACCACTCAGTATCCCCTTGTTCTGTTCAAATGACTGCCTCTTGGTCTATGTACAGGTTCTGCGTGAGCACAATTAAGTGTTCTGGAATTCCCATTCTTCGCAGTATTATCCATAATTTCTTATGATCCACACAGTCGAATGCCTTTGCATAGACAATAAAACACAGGTTAACATCTTTCTGGTAGTCTCTGCTTTCAACCCAAATCCATCTGACATCAGCAATGATATCCCTCTGAATCTGGCTTGAATTTCTGACGGTTGCCTGTCGATGTACTGCTGCAACCACTTTTGAATGATCTTCAGCAAAATTTTACTTGCATGTGATATTAATGATATTGTTAGATAATTTCCACATTTTCTTGGATCACCTGTCTTGGGAATAGGCATAAATGTGGATCTCTTCCAGTTGGTTGGCCCAGTAGCTGTCTTCCAGGTTTCTTGGCATAGACGAGTGAGCACTTCCAGCGCTGCATCCATTTGTGGAAACATCTCAATTGGTGTTCTGTCCATTCCTGGAGCCTTGATTTTTCTCCAGTACCTTCAGTGCAGCTTGGACTTCTTCTTTCAATACCATCAGTTCTTGCTTATATGATACCTCCTGAAATGGTTGAATGTTAACCATTTCCTTTTGGTATAGTGACTCTGTGTATTCCTTCCATCTTCTTTTGATGCTTCCTGC